GGAATTCTCATACTTCTCAGTGTTGTCCATAGCTTGTCATGATCCACACAATCGAAAGCCTTCATATAGTCAATAAAGCATAGGTAGTCAATGTCTAAGTTGCCCATCCCTGTCACCCCTGTGTACAGAGGGAATGGGAATGATCCTTAGTGTGAAGATTCCTTCCCTCTCAGTTGGTATTTTGAGCTACTACATCTGTAAGTATTGGTCAAGTTACATCAAATTGTAGGAACTTATACTTGTATCCTTTATCAAAATTTTTTTATCTTCCTCTAGTCAAATTCTGATCATCCAACCATCGAAGCTTGGTCAAATGGGTACTATCTGCAAGTTTGGGCTTTCTTGTGCATCTCCCCTCACTTCATATCAGCTGGATGCTTCACTCTCAACTCTAGCCCTCCATGGCTATGTCCTTGTCCATTGGCCCAGGAGTCCCCAGGTCTCACCATACTTCAGACCAATCAGCCCTTCCTCTTCTCTCTCTCATCTCCAGGTCTACAGCTATGGAACATGGTCAAACTCAGCCCATGTCTTCATTGCTGCTTTTTCCCCACTTCCACTCACCAGTAGACCAATGTGGTCACCAGCAAGCTTACATGCCAACTCATGTATTCCCTTTGAGTTTCCGTCTTGGAAGGGGTTTGTCCTGAAAGGACTCGATTGCTTGCTTTGATGCCTTTCCGGCAAACAACTTGCTTGTTCTTGTAGTAGCCAACAGACTACTGTTTTTATTTTTTATTTTTCTTGATGGTTTTTCTTTCAAGAAATATCTTCTGGTCCTTTAGCTACTCCAGGTTGGTCTGTTTGTCCTTTCAAGTGGGAATGTCCTACCTCAGAAGGTTTTGGATGGAGATCAGGATTCCATCCAAGGTCTTACACGCTACAAAGGGTCTGCAAGAAACCTCTTTCACAGGGCACATTCTAGAACCCCTTTTAGGTATTCCAGTCAGTTATAGGATAAAGACGGTTTGCAAGCTTTCTATAATCATGTTTCCTGATATTCCTTTCTGTCCCCCTCAAGTGTCTATTTTACAATAGTAGCCAAGGGAAACCAAGATTCATAAGACAGTCAAGCATTTTAACATTATTTTCCCTCTTTTACCCATTCAGACTATGCCTCGATCCCTTGTACCACAGAGCCCTGTTGTTCCAAGTTTGAGCATACATCACTATTTACCACTGTCCCATGCAAACCTGCCTAAGTGTTCTCCTGTCTACCTTGAGATACAGAATCCAATATTACTATATCAAATCTTACCAGAAACCCTGTGATTACACTTGTTAACTCTTGCATTTCTTTCGAGTGTACTTAGTAGATATTCCATATTTAAATGTTTAAGTGAGTGGAAATTGGTTTCTCGTGCATTAATATGAGAAAGAGGGAGTACTTAGTCACAGGTGTGTTTTTCTCTCTCCAGCATTTTCATGATGGGCGTAAGGCGCAGCAGCACATAGAGACTTGCTGGAAGCAACTTGAATCAGTAAGTGAAAAGCAGACACTTTCAGAAACATCTTAATAGAGTTTTCTAATCTGAATTTCGTTCAAACTTGAATCTATCTGTAAAGAACAACAAAAGCAAAACACTGAAAAAATAAGTATCAGTAGATTTTTTTTTCCTGATTTGAATTTAATTTTGTTTCAAAAAACCATTATCTAAAATGTTTATGATCTAAAACATCTCAAATAGAGCATTTTTCCTAAAATTTAGATCCCAAATAGAGTATTTTCCCTAAAAGTCAAATGGAAAGAACAAAGGTTGTTTAGACTACTTAGAGGAAATTAAATGCAGACTTTTAAAATAAAATATCTGCCTAAAATTATGACATATAGCAAATCAGTTCAGAGAATTATGCTCCTTTTGGAATGCAATTTAATCTTCTTATCGTTTTTCTAGCTAATTACTTTCTTTGTCACCATTTTTCTGGCTTTTAGAGTAAAAGACGATTTGAGCGGGATTGCAAAGAAGCTGACCGAGCACAGCAGTACTTTGAGAAAATGGATGCTGACATAAATGTTACAAAAGCTGATGTTGAAAAGGTAAGATAAAAGTGAAAATCTTTCTTTCATTTCCCTTTTTAATGGTTGTAACAGGTCCCCAAGTTCTCCTTTCTGATGTGCCCACAAAAAGGGGTAGTCAACTTGTGATCCTTTGCATTTTGTGTCAACAGTCATGGGGCCAAAAGTTACAGTCTTCTAGGGAAGACTCATGGGGAATCATTAGATTTTTGTTTAGTCACTAGGGTGATAACATGGAGTTTGAGACCATGTACATACCCTATGATGGAGTCTTTTTTTTTTTTTCCCTATGATGGAGTCTTGATGTGGTGTTGTGGATTAATACGCTGGACTGCAAAGCCAGGTTGAACCACAAAGTCGGCACTTCAAGCTCACCAGCCGCTCTTCGGAAACCCTATACAGGATCACTATGGATTGAAACAGACTCCATAGCACTTAACAACAACACATCCTATGAGGATGGTTCCCAGAGGTTGTAGCTCTTTCTAATGACTCATCAAAGAGAAAGTTCACTTTTTAAAGTTTACTTTTTAAAGAGCAATTGTTTCTTTCCATCTGGAAGAGCTTGGCTTCTTTTAATGTTTCCCTTAAAAAGATAAGGTCTCACACTTCTTGCTTTACTTCTAAAGGATTCATTCAGGTAGATAACAGCCAGGTCGTAATTGAAGGCTTACACTTAAAAGTCCTCTTTAAATCTTTACGCAAAATGGACTTGTACTGCCAATTATGAACATTATAAAGCTTTTACTGTAGTTTCTTGTGTCTAAATACATGGTTTTTTTTTCCTTAGAAACTGAATTTTCATTTTATAAAAATCAACAGTGTAAACAAAATTAAGCCGTTAAAGAATCGTATTCACTTGATATTGCCCAGGGCTATTTTGGTCTTCCCAATCTCATGCTTCACTTGGGAAAAACCCTGTGTTTTCATAGATTTCTTTCACTTTTGCCAGATTTGTTGGAGATGCGTTCAGTTGAGACCTAGTATGAATTCGTTATTTACCTAGTTCTGCCAGATCCTTTGTTTTTAAGACTAGATATGTACCAGGGGGTTTCAAAAAATTCGTGAAGAATTACACTAACTTTTTATTCCATTTTTCCACAAACTTTTTAAAGCCCCTTTGTGTTAGTGTGCCTTCCTTTAAAATGATCTGATATGCTAAAATATATGTTCTTAATATCTAAATTGGTTTTGAATAGGGATGTTTACCAAAATGTATAAGGTTTTATTAATTCATTGATTGTGTTACCATAATTTACCATAAAATTGTCATAAATAACCAACTCCTACTATAGTTTTTATTTAATTAAAAATTTTAAAACTCAGTATATGTGCCCAAAAGATATATGTAGCACAAATGAATGCATTTTTAATCAAATACTTTATTGTCCTCAATGTAGAATCAGAATGCTTTTTAAAAACTTACTTTTATAGCCTTTCTTATTTTAAAAACTCATTGTAGCAATATCAGAAAATGCAAACAATTCCCCCAACCCCCAGAAAAACTCACAGACTTATCCAATTATTTTAATTCCTTCATTCACATTTTAACTTTCAAAACCTTCCCCCCCCCGCCCCCAAAAAAGGCATGTATACCATACATAGGTATGGAGCTGTAGGGTAAGACACTGGACCACAAGATCTATTTTGAACCACAGGTCAGCGGTTCAAACTCACCAGCTGCTCCTTGGAAACCCTAGACAGGGTTGCTATGTGTTGGAACCAACTCGATGGCGTTTAACAATACCATGTATATACAGTGTAAAGAATAATAACAAAAGGAATACCCACTTAACCAATCATATCTTCAGTACAATTATATAATAATCGCACTGGACTGCAAGGTCATTTGAACCATAAGGTCAGTGGTTCAAGCTCACCAGCTGCTCCTCAGAAACCCTATACAGGGTCATATGAGTCAAAATCGACTTTATGGCATTTAACAACACAGCAGTATATTAATAGAGCCAGGTAACTTGCTAACACTCTTTGTGTTTAAATAGTTGGGATTTTCTGAAGAGAGTCATATATCAATCAACAGTGAGTTTGGTTTTTTGGGTTTTGTGGTAACTTTCTCTTTTCCTTTTGGTTCATTGAGTTTGTTAAATCCAAACTTTGCAGTTTTCTCTTTGCCTCTCCCTGTTCTTCCCCTCATTTCCTCTGGAACTCTGACTGTAAGGTGTAAGTTAGAACTCTTTACTCTTGGTGTTTCATGCTCATTAATATTTATTTTCCATCCCTTTGCCTTTTTCTGCTGTGTTCTTTGTAGGTCTTTTAGATCATACTTCCATTTCTCTAATTCTGTGTCTAATTTATGGCTTAACCTATCCACTGAGTTCTAATTTTCATTGTTGCATTTTAGTTTCTAGAAGTTCTCTTCAAATCTGCTAGTCATATTTTACTTTTCAACATGCTGAAAGTACTGATTCATATTATCTATTTACTTAATTTCAGAATCTGTAGTCTTTGTGGGACTGATTCCTCAGTATGTTATTTTCTGACTTCTTAATGGTAACTTGTTTCCTGGAAAATGTTTTGATACAAACGTTTCTACTATAATAATATAAATGCTTTGCTAAAAAACCTTATGTTCTGCAAAAATGCTACTAAAACTAAAAAACAGGGCTTTGGGGAAAGACAAGCAGGGTAGATAATCAAAACCCATAAAACATTGCAAACAGAACATCAACAAAAGAACAGTAATGTTTAACTTCCACTAGCAGCCACACTGAGCATCACAGCCAGTTTTTGTCCTTCCTCCTTAGAGATGTAGTTCTTTGAGAGTGTTCAATTCTATTAGAGACTGTTTTTATCAACATTAAAAATCTAAAAAAAAAGGAACTCTAATCCAAGGTGTTTTTGCTGTTAAGTGTCATCGAGTCAGTTCTGACTCATAGTGACCATGTTATAGGGGTTCCGAGGAGCTGCTAATGGGTTTGAACTGCCAACCTTGTGGTTTACAGCCTAGTGCTGATCCTACAACACAACATCAGGAGTCCAATCCAGGCTGTAGCTTTCTGCTTTGATCCATTGATGCATTGTTTTAAGTCAGGAGGATGTTCTTTCCTACCTTTTGTATTTTGTACTCCAGCTTTACCAGATAATCCAACATAATGTGTGAGTTCTGACCCCAAGAGTGCTTGAGGATAAGTGTATGGCTTAAATTTTTCTAGGATGACTTTGTTTTCCTCCCTTAGATTAGATTCAATGTAGAGAAATTGTCAGAAGGGCAAGTAATTGACTAAATAGGCCAATCTAAGGGGTTTTTTTCCATAAATTTTATTTATTTTGCTGTTGTTGAACATATGAGGAGGTATCAAAAAGTCCATGGAAAAGTGGAATTAAAGGATAATGTAACCTTTCCATATACTTTTGAAGCCTCCTCATCTATACAGCAAAACATACACAAATTCAACAGTTTCCACATGTACAATTTGTTGTCATTGATTTAAGTTTTAAAGATGATCCTAGGACAATAGTTTCAAGCATTCATCCACCATCTATGGCTCCAGAAAGTCTAGGTTCCATAAGAATTAGAAATTCTGTTCTGCATTTTCTCCCTTTTGATCAGGAGTAGTCTATGGAATCTTTGATCAAAATGTTCAAAAACAGTATTCAGGAACCATCCAGTTCCGGTTTCATGGAAAAGGAGACAGTTTTTCATGGAAGAAATTAGCCACACATTCCATTTCCTTCTTCTATTCCTGACTTTTCCTCTTTCTCTCTTGCTCCAAGTGAATAGAGAACAATTGCTGTGCTTTGAATATCAAATTGTAAGCTTTTCAGACTCCAGGCATCACACAGTGAACTAGAAGATAAAACAGAAGCCTTAAACATATTGTTAGGCCAACTTACCTGGATGTCCCATGAAACCATGACCCTAAACTCAGCCAAATTCCTTGAGGTGTTTGGCTGTACATAAGCAGCCTCAGCAGCTACAGCTACTCCCTTAAACCCCCTCTATCACGTAATTTTTTTGACAATTCAACTTTTTATAGGTGAACAGAGTGCAGCTCTGTAGGATAATCACTAGACTGAGAACCGCAAAGTCTGTGGTCCAGGCCCACCAGCCCCTCCATGGGAGAAAGATGAGGCTTTCTGCTCCTGCCTCAGAAACCATATACAGGTTCACTATGAGTAGGAACTGACTCAACAGCATTTAACAACAACAATAATTTATTGACAGCAATTAGAATCATGGAATATGCAGCCTTACCTTTAATCAACGTGATTTTTACATCACCGTCACCTCCTCCCCCCTGAAATTCTGCTCTCTGCCCCTGATGATAGTCACTAATAAACTTTGGTCTTGTTAAATGCCATAGAGTCGGCTCCTATTCATAACAACCCTGTATAAGGTTTCCAAGGAGGGACTGGTGAGCTGGAACCGTCGACCTTGTGGCTCAAACAAACCTTGCAGTCCAGTGCCTTAACCAGCAGCACCACACCACAGAACTTTTCTTGTCTTTTTATTTAAGTGAGGTCCTACAATATTTGTCCTTTTGTGACTAATTTTGCTCAGTATAATGTCTTCAAATGCTATCCATACTGTATCAAGACTTCATTTCTCCTGCTGGCTGAGTAGTATTCCAGTACTTGTATGTTCTACATTTTGTTTATGGATTCATCTCTTGTTGGGTATTTAGGGCATTTCCACCTTTTGACGACTGTGAATAGTACTACAGTTTACATTGGTAAACAAGTCTCTATGAATCTCTGTTTTTAAGTGTTTTGGGTATACACCTAGGAGTGGAATTACTGGGTCATTTAGTGTTTCCCTTTTTAGTTTTTTGAGGAAAATGTCACACTGTTTTCCACAATGACAGTATAACTTTATATTTCTACCAGCAGTGGATAAGGGTTCCAGTTTCCCTGCATCCTAAGCACCGTTTGTTATTTTCTGGGTGTTTTGTTGTTATGTCTTTTTAGCCACCCTAGCAGGAGTGTAAAGTAGACTGTTGGAATCTTGATTGGGTTGCCTTGAATCTATAGATTGCTTTGGGTAATGTTGACATATTAAT